TGCTGTCAAGTCTTTACCTGTGATTCTGGCAACTTGGCCTGTACTTTTGTGTTGAATTACAATCATGATGTATAGTTTTCTCATCATGTTTAATGTTTAATAAAACATTAAAATGTTTTATTCGTTCAAGCATTATGCATTGACTTCTTTCTGTCTTTCTAGCAGCATGTTGGGTACAAGGGTAACAGTATAGTTAATCTTGGAAAGTTAGTAGAGTTAATCTTGAAAGTTCTCTGTGAGTATGAAGAAGAAATAAGCAAGGATGTAATTACTGGTCCAAGTGTTCAGCTGTCATCATAGAGGTCAGGGTCAAAGTTCTGTGATGATGCAGAGTATGGGGATCAGGCTTTGAGTTGGTGACTCTTACTAACCAGCATTAATCATGATTCTAATTTCTCCTTCTTATTTTTTTTTGATGAGTTGGGAATGCAGCCAAGGTCCTCATTTTATTTTTCTTGGTATTCTCTACACAGGGCCTGGCATATAGTAGGTGTTTATTAAATCCTTAATAATAAATGAGTGATACTTTTTCTTATGAGAGAAAATAAATGTTTTTAGAAGAGTCAGCTTTATACCACAGTTTCAGGGAATGAATTGTGATGAAAAGCGAAGATTGCTTTTACTTGAAAGAGGCTGACAAATTTCCCAGACCTGGGATCACTTTATGCAGTGTATGATTTAAGGGTGAGTGAGCATGCCAGAGCGCTCCACTTGAGCTGAGTGATGGGGGATGAGTTGTGGAGCTGTGGTCTTAGATGGTATTTTGTGAAAAATAGTGGGAGATTTATGGCTATTAAACAACTTTGTAGCTGCCCCCTTCTTGTCTTGAAACCTGCCAAATCTCTCCTCCTGTGGTCTGTATCATGTTCCTTCCGGGCATCCATGATGTTCAGAAATATCCACTGGAATGCAGGTTTTCATGGAACGCACCCAATGGGAGGGGGCTTAAATTTTACACATTCATCTAAAGACATTTGTTTTCTGGAACCGCAGAGTGAAATTCTCACTTTGCAAATCTCTTGTACTGTACTTTCATTCAGTCTTTTCCAACGAGGTTGCCAAAGTTCTTCCTTCCTTCCTGCGTTATAGAAATTGCAAAGCACAGTATATTAGTGACCATTATCATTATTGATATGAGTTTAAAAAATTATTAGCAACACTCCAATTGCGAGTAGGAGACAAGTACAGAAACCTTCAGTATGCTTTGGCAGATCTTAAGCAGAAGGACTCACCGGGCTGGAACGAGCATGTCAAGCCTTGGTGTGAAGGGGGAATTTATAGTTACTACTGTTTATCGGGTTTTTCCATTCTATTGTCATACTCAGTAGCTTTGGAAGAAGTAGAAATGGGATATTTCATCACAAAAAGCCAACCAGAGATGGACTGAATCCATGTTGGGCAAGTACTAGAAAATTGTTAGAGGAAATTTCCTTTAATTATGGGTTTATATCAACATAGGACTTATGGATCAGAGAGAAAATAGGAGTCTGTTTTTTCAATTTTCATGTTTAATTTTGAGAAATTGCAAAAATGTAGAAAAGTTTGAAAAGTAATGAGGATGTTCAGCTACCATACAGGGTTTATATTTTCTAATATCTTGACATTTCTTTCATGTCTTATCTTTCAATAACAGAAATAAACCTTATCTGTAAAATTGAAGCTCACCCTCTTTCCCATTAGCCCCAGTCCTATTCCTGTGCCCTGTGGTAGAGGCAACCATTTTCATGAATTTAGTGTATAACTTTTATAATTTTTAGACCTTTCCGTATACACATATGAGATCAAAGAACTACACGTTTACATAAATAATATTGCACTACATTTGTCATTCTGCAACTTGCATTTTCACTTTTTATTAAATTTTAGAGCTACTCAAATTGAGATATATAAATCGCTTTATTGCTCTTAAGTGCTAAATATTATTCTGTCATATGTATATACAACATTTTATTTATCAGTTTTCCTCATTGATAGACATTTGAATTATTTCCAATCTGTTCTGTTGTAAATAATGCTGCAATAAACATTGTTCTATGTTCCACCTTACAGACCTGAGTAAAATTTTCCATTGTATATATTTTAAAGGGAATTGCAGTACCAGTTTTCAATTTTATTAGATATTGCTAAGCTACTCTCCTGCGTAGTTGAACCAATGTACGTTCCCACTGGCAAAGGATGCGAGGTTAAGAGATTTGTTGTCCTTCATTCTCTATAGCACTCGCTATTGTGAGACTTAAAAGTTTGCCAACTATGATGGACAAAAAAATAATTGCATTTTGTTTTAATTTGCATTGCCCTTAGGACTAGTAAATTCGACCATCTTCTCTTTTATTTATTGACTACTCAGGTTTCCTCTTCTTTGAATTGTCTGAGATTTCCTTTGCCCATTTTTTATTATATTTTTATTTATTTAGGGATATAGGTATTCTAGATGCTAATATTTTATTGTAGATGTTGCAAAAATTCTCTAACAGGGGTGATTTAAAAAGTAATTCTTTGCCACAGGTCATTAGAAAATTTGGCAAGTACTTAAAGATTTGAGAATTATTTGCAGTTCTCAGGATTCCGATTTACCCCGATTTCCCTGTTCCCATTTTAGGCATATTTCCTTAATCCAGGTAAAAGAAAACATTAAATATTTCCACTTATGTTTCTATTATTTCATTCTTGATATACTGTGAGTGTATTGCTTCAGTTTCAAGGGGAGTTCTTTATTCTGGGGCAGGTAGTATGCAAATTTAAGACATTGTCTTGTCCATTTCTTTCATATGATAATTGTGCTTTTCTGAATCATGCTTCTAAGCATAATTTTCAACATCACTATTGAAAAGATCACATGGACTTCATTTTGCTAAAAGCCAAGTCAAAGAACTGATAGTTAGAACCTTGGTTTGTAGCGGTTTTCCCCAACATCCAGCCATGAAAGTCTCACCAGAAGGCATAGTTTGCAAAATTGTTCTCTTCCTGGATTCTTTTCCATGGCTTGAGTTTATAAATGGACACTTAGCAGAAAAGTAATTAAGTGCTAGGCGAAGAACGATGACTGCAAAACAGAACTCAAGCCACACAGTTTTTGCTTTGACTACAGTTGGAAATAAAAGTCAAATCGCTATTTTACTCTTGGTTACAAAACTCGTATGTTTTTCCCCGTCAGAGGTATTTGCTGAAAGGTAGTTTCTTCCAGTAATTTTAGGAAAAGCTGTCATCAAGTTGTCAACAGCCCAAATTGAGATTAAAAGCACCAAGAAATATCACAATATAGCAACCTAAAACTCATCCTGGAATTTTAGGCTTTTTTAGCAACAAGGTGGAGTAGAAACATTGACAGAGAAAGAAGCTATGGCCTCTTATGGAGAAAGTACAGTAGATCTGTGGAAGGACATTCCCCATTCCTCTGCCGCATGTATCCTGCCTCGAGCATTCAATAGATGCCATATTCAGAACATGTCATTGTGTCTCATTTATCATGTAGGGATTACAGGAGACCTTGATGCCAAATGGAGAAACACCTGGTGATTCTAGTGTTTGAATTTTAATCTAACTGCTGACTCTTTTACATTGTTGCAGCATCCTAAATGTCTAATGATGCAGTATCTTACAAATCTTGGGTACTTTTAAAAACATTTTTCTTGGTGACTGAACTTTGATCTTTCTAGACCCAATACCTTTGGCTCAAACTTTAAACACCACATATTTCTCTTGCTGCTGAGATGAAGTAATGCTACCCGAAATCTGTCTCTACCTTAGGGACAGAGCTTCTGCTTTTGTGGCATTCAGAACTCTTTCTGTAAGTCTCCACTGAATGCTGCTTAATCAAACATCTCAAATGTCAGAAACAGGGTTTAAAGGGTTTTTCTAGCAAGTAGGTCTAATCTCCTACTTAGTTTTGATTCGTATAATGTCGATAATCTCTTTGGAGAAAAGGCCTCCTCCTACCAGGGCAAATATATCCCATAGAATGTATTTCCTTTTCCAGAAAGAAAAATGTAGCATTAATGAAATTTACTTTTTCATGAAGCTTGGAAAGGTTGTAAGCTTAGGATTTTGATCCTAGCAGATGTTCTTTTTTGGATATTAAAAAAAAAAAAAAGTAGTGTTTGATTCAGAAGTCTCAGTAAGAGTTGCAGTGGTGATGCTTCGTACTCCACGCAGCCACACTCAGAATGTGACATACTGGTCATTAGCTCTGAGTGACACCTGACTCTCTGGCTGTGGTCCTTTCCTCCTGCCTTAGCCCCCATGGATGTAGTGTTGGGGAAAGAGAGTTAGCAGCCTGTGTCACACTATATAGAATCGAATGGTTAAAGAGCCTTGTGTACAGTAAAAAAAAAAAAAAAAAGCATCTTCATAGATAGATTTCGTAATATTTTCTTTTAGACTTTGAAATGGCAAAGTTTTGTCGACTACCACTGTATCTCAAATTTCAGGTGGGTTTTTCAGTGCTATTGTAAAATGTAGCCAGAACCCCAGTTGCAGGGTCTGCAATGGTTTGTATCCTTCTCTAGGGTCACTTCATGCTGCCAGGCCTTTTGTCTTCAGCTTCCCATTATCTCCATGCCACTGGGTCCAGTAAACCAGGCTCGTTTGTCCCATCCACCCTGGGGGCAAAGCTCAGCCTCTTCACTGGTTTCCATAGAAATCTCTGCACAGTGAACATTCGATCTGTGGCAAGTATTGGTAGGAGGCCTGTGGCAGAAATCGAAGTCTGCATCATTTCCTGCTTCAGCTTCTCCTTTCCTCCTCCTCCTTGAAGTTCAGCACAGTAAACAAACCATCCCCTTGTGTCAGAGCCCTTCCACCTGTACCAAGTCCCCTGAAAGCTTGGTAATCGACCCTACACTTAGCAGAATATTATCTCAATGCAGACAGCTCTTGCTTCCTAAGAAGAGTCTTGGTCCATAATATTTTCTCCAAACCCAGATCCTAAGGAGGCAAGTTGGGTACCTGAAGGTATTTAGTGTTTGGTGTGGCTTCATGTTGGTGTGGTTTTTTCCACGCAGGCCTCCAGTGACAGCGTTGCCGCCTCTCCGAAGAGCCGCTACACACCCCTGCCTTCTGCTTCCAGGGAACTCACCAGTCACCGAGGTAGGAACCCGGCTTTTTATTGCTCTCAGTGGCTGCAGGGAGGGACAGCGGCCTGTGCGGAGCTCGGGGCTCATTACTGCTGTCTCGGCACTTTGGAAGGAACACAGTGCTTTTCAAGTCCTTGATGAGAAAACCATACCTGTCAAGCCTAGTGATTTTCACTCATATTCAACAGAGTTTAGTGGCAGTCTATTGGGAAGGCAAATAAGCCTATGGTGGAATATAATTTTGTGATACCTTTTCTTTAAACAAAGAGATTATCGTACTTAAAAATTACTAAGGAGGTCATTTCCTCCAGGGGAAAGTGATGGAGAGAAATTAGGAAACTCACTAATATTTGTAAAAGTGTCACTGTTTGGGAGTATAATAGTTGAAATCTGTAATTTCGAAATGAATGAACTCTACGTTACAGCTAAAAGGAATTCCAGTTCGCCTGGCAACATTAAGGCGAATCCATATGCAGTTTTCCCTGAATTCTCTGATCCTTGAAACTTTAATTTGGCTTACCCAGTTCTTCCAAAGCCTTGAATTCCTATTGCCATCTCTAAAGTCTGCAAGGAATATAATTTAAATATGCTTTATCCCTAACCTGGCTGCTCAGGCCAAGGACTATGTGACCAGCTTTGTTGGAATTAGTTAGGACAGGAAGAGGCCATGTGATGTAACTTGTTTACCCCATTTTATTCTGGTTATGACCACAGTCATGTTTCGTAATTGTGAATCTACCTTCCAAGGATAAGTAAGAACAGGCTGAGATTGAGGGCATTACATACTTTAAACATTGCTTCTCCAAGCAGGAAATTACCCTTGTACACGCAGGGGACACTGAATAAGGGCTCTTCCAGCTTTGTCATCCAAGCTGCACAGCAGGATGCGTGGGTTGGAGCCAAGTCTGTAGAGATTATCAGAAAGTAGAGCTGGCCCTCTAAGGAAGACATGGAGGTTTCAGGCAAATGGCACACTTATATTCTGCAGGAAACGGTCCATAGAGTAATGCAGGATTCCAGGTGTCTGTGACTTGGACCTGTGTTGTCTGTTTTGATGTTTGGGCCCAGTGGAACATTTCTACATTTAAATATGTGTTGGTTCAATTAGGGTTCAACTGTGATTCCATTCAGTAAGTGTCAAACTTGAGAAAATCAATTTTGCTCAAAGTCAGGTAGAATAAATAGCTGCCGACATGTTATATTTTGAGGGGTGTGAACAGATCTCTTCTGCTGAATGTCCTTTTGAAGGTTGTGAGTATATCCCTTTAGAGAATGTTTTATTGGGTGGCGGAGGTGGGTGGCGGGGATTCCTCTAGGCAAACAATAATACGCTATCTAGAAGGAATAACAAATTAAGCCTAGCATCATATTCTCATAGATGGTCTCTTGCATTTGAATAAGGGTAGTTTTAACTGTGTAGCCCGTTGACTACATGAGTAGGAACTGAAGTCTCGGAGCCCTCAAGCCTACCTGAGTTGATCTGGCCACGAAATTGAGATTTCACAGCAGGAGGACCCCATAGTGATAGTCATCAGTAATAGGGTAAAGGTCATCTGTCATTGTAACAGTAAAATAAAGAATCTGAACCTTGAAGAAATGGAATATAAAACAATAGTTTTGAAGATACTTTGGTTAATATTTGGAATATGGAAAAATACCTAACATGGTTAGAGTGAAAATAGGCCCCCTTGAATGATATCAGAGCCCAACATCAATAGGGAAAGCATTATTTAAAGGGAGCCAAGAGCAGATGTCTTGAATTTCCTGAGTAATTAATACACATTTAAAGCATTTGATGCATTAGTTGCCTGATCTGTGCTAAGTACTTGGGTGTTCAAAAGAGCAAGACAGCATCATGAAACGACGGCCAGGTCTTTGGACTTATGTTCATGAGGAGACCAGTAAAGAGAGAACCAAAGAAGCTCATTAGGCTGAATTATTATTGTACTGATGTGCATGGGGAAAATATGAGACTGATCTATTTCATCTTGGCATGAATCATGCAGTGACAAATGAGGAAAGCCATAGTTTTCAGCATCCAGGATGAAACCACTTAAGGCCATCTTGTTTTATTTTGTATTTAAGTGAAAGAAATTATTCTAAATTTCTGATTCCATAAATCACCAAACTTTGTGAGTGTCATTTGTTAATATTTTCATGGCAACAGCCTACAGACATTTATCCAGAGAGGTACTTCCACGTTGTGAAGGCAAATTACACCAATTCTTTCCCAGGTGAAATCCTCCATGATGTTTGAAAGTTGGTCTATAAAGTCCTAAGTGGAAATTCTATTTGTAAATAATTTTTGGTTCATTCGGTTCCCAATCTCTTTTCATTCCGCACCAACGACTACACAAACTGGTGGGCAGTAGTTCATGTGCAAATTGCTATTTTTCTATACTTGCCATTTTCCCTTTGCTTGTCCTTTTATGTAACTTCCAATGTCGAGTATGATAGGCCAGAGATTCATGTCCTAAGGACTGTTGATTCAAATGCAGAGGAAGTCTGGGCCCAGAATAATGATCAGGAGACAGGGGACTCTCTTTTTCCATCCGTAACGTGTAGATCATCTAAACCTCATGGGGACAGTAATGCCCAGTACTTTGTTCTTCCTGCATGAGATTTTTACTGATCTTACCTGTATTGAATTTTTCCCCTAGTTGAGGTACTTATAATATTTGTTTCTATCTCCTTAGTGCCATTGCTCATATTCTGCTTTGTATGACAGGGGTCAGGTCTATGTATGTCCTGAGCTCCTCATAAATGAAAGCTCCCTGAGGGCCAGTACAGATTCTAACTCTCCTTCCCTCTCACATCATTAACTGCTACTCATTCGTCAGGTATCAGCTTCAGTACAACAGATCCAAAGAAGATTCCTCTGATCCCACCCTATCCATCTGCTTTAGGTCAGTTTTCCCTTTTCAGGGACTGTCTTCCCAGATGGCAGCTCTTGG